ACCACTAGGTGGTAACCTCTAACCTATTTCAAAACATTGGGGATTTACAATTTTACTGCACAGGAAATTGTAAATTACAAACATGGCAGAGATAACCAGGTAACATAACTATCCACTTTATTTAAAAATATAATGGTGAATTTATCTAATTGTTGAATGATCACAAACCAATGATGAATCATTTATTAGTCTAGTCCTCATTATTGTCTTGCTGAGAATTTATTTTATGGGAGTAATGAGTTTCATTGATGGCTCATTAAGAAAAATAGATATAAAGATGTCACTAAAGCGGTTCTCTAAGGTACAAAAGCTAAAAGGTACATCTTTCTATCTTTTTTTTTACCCCTAAATGGTACATAATAGCACCTTAAAGGTAGATATTAGTAACTTAGTGCCTAAAGTTTACATAATAATACTTTTAGAAAGGATACCACCCTAGTGACCCTTTGTACCTTTTATTGTGAGTGTGTAGAGTTCTTTTAAATAAACTGAATCCACTCTTATCTCATCTGGGCATATTAATGGAATAGAGTTACCAGAACATTGTGCTTTCGTTCTCATTCCTTAACTGTAAAAACCATGCCACTCATTGTTTGGTAATGTGTCAGTAACCTCAACTCTCACTGTCAACAGAGCAATGAGCAGTCGATTGTGTGATTAGATAAGACCAGTCCAGTCAGTACAATAGTCCACCCAGGAAAACTATGTTCATGTTTTGATGTGAAGCACAGGCCTCAGCCTTTTTACATAAGCAGGAGACATCAGTAAACAGCCCTGGGGAATGACAGGCATGCCAGTATGAGAACAGCCGCCTGGAAAAAACAATTACAGCTGTTGTGGACTGTGATATATGTTTGCATACACCCAATGACCCCTCCATCTCCACTCACCCACAGACGAAAATGTGTACTCCATCGTTTATGGCCTGCTTTGAGGGCTGTTCTTTTCCTATCAAGGTTCCTGGAATTGCATATGGTTGCTCATTGCTGTTCTCGCACATCTCTGTAGATTGTAGCACATGAGGGTTCAGTCATTAACAGCTGCGTAACAGGGCACTCTATGGAGGGAAGCCTTGTTGAGATTTGTGTGTGTGTGTGTGTGTTTCTTTTAATGCTTAGATACTTAGATATATATATATATATAGGTAATTAAAGCTGTGGGCACAAATATTACAAGGAAATATTTGTAAAATGCACCCAATCAGAAAAGTTAATAAAATGAGCATTTACTCACCCTCATGTTGCTCCAAACCAGTACTACTTTCTCTTAAAAGAAGATCATTTTAGTAATATCTCAAATGTTTTTGTCCTTCCAATGAAAGTCAATTGGGACCAAAACAACATCAGACTTTTCTTACAAAGCACTGAGACATTTTTGAAAATATCTTCTTTTGTGTTTTACAGAAGAAAGAAAGTTATAGGCTCAGAATGATATATGTGTGAGTAAAGGCCTGTTCACACCAAGAACGATAACTATATTAGCATCCACACCAACAGATGATTCTGTTTATTATATTATAGTTTTAGTACATAATATCAAGTTATTTGTCTGGTGGATTCTGATTGCTGTTTTTATTATTCATCAGCTAGAAAAGAAATTGCTCTGAAATTGATTCTAGAAAGGGGTTCCACGCCTAAGGGTACATATTAGTAGCCTACCTAAAATATTAGTATGAGGTTACGGTCCCAGTAAAGCTGTTTTATCCCCTTTTCTGTAAATGATTAGTGTGTAAATTATTACTGTGTGGAGATGTGCGATATATGACAAAAAATACCAATCAAATATTTGATTTATGGGCATAAGCTATCCATGATTGCTCAAAAATGAAAAGTAATTAGATAAAGGAAAGTTTTTCACATTGATTTAATGTTTATCTAGGCCTGAAACATTTCAGAGACTCCAGGACATAAACAAGCTATCCATCTAACCTTACGTGAAGTGCCACCTATCATGGGATTTATGGTATGTGATATATTGAAAGAGGTAGGCTACTAATACTTGTTTATCAAGCAGTTCTTGAGAAGGTTAATCCATCAAGAACACAGTAGTCTCTATGGGCACAAAATGATCCTGATGTTATTTTTACATTCAGCAGGAAGCAATTTTGTTCTATCACTGTACATCTGACCTTCGTTTACTGCATGCCAAATGTGCCAAGTTCATTGTTTCTTCCAGGCTTGTTGTTCCATTCATGCCTCTCATTGTTGCCCAGTGACTTCACTTTCCATGTAACCTCTGACCTTAAGTGGTTTGTTGTGTACTATGAAATGTAACCTTTGCCTTACTGGGAAAAGGACCAATGTGTAGTATCTCGATCCACACCTGTCAATCATATTTGTCCTCTCTACAATCCAGCCTTGCTATAAAAAAACATCAGTAGAAAACATGCTTGAAAATTTAGCATCCTCAGGCCATCGAACATGCAGATCATGTTTCTTCATCAGAACAGATTTTGAGAAATGTAGTATTTAGATCACTTGCTCACCAATGGATCCTTTGCAGTGAATGTGTGCATTACTTGTGGATCACAATGATCCACAAGTAATCCACGACTCCAGTCCATCAGTTAACATCTTGAGAAGAAAAAGTTGCGTGTTTGTAAGGAACAAACACATTAAGGCGGCTTAACTTTAAACCGATGCTTTTTGCCAAAATACCAGTCCTTAATCCATGATCCATAATGCTTCCAGTGAAAAAGTTGTTTTTGAAGTGCATCCTGAATCGGATGATCTGGAGAAAGCAATGTTATGAACATAAATCATAATGTTCTTATTTGCCGTTTAGAACATCTGATCGGTATCAGGGGCACAGCCTTAAGATGGTTCATCTCATATCTCAAAGACAGGTCTTTTTCTGTGGAGTTAGGCAAGTTTTCCTCATCATCTGCTGCCCCAATTATTAGTGGAGTACCTCAGGGCTCTATTTTGGGACCGCTTCTTTTTAACATATATATATGCGCCCTCTGGGGGATATTATCAGGAAGCACAATGTTTTGTTTCATTTATATGCTGATGATATGCAGTTGTACCTCCCACTAAAAGCTGGTGATTCCATTCAACCATTGCGGGAATGTATCTCAGGTTTTAAAAAACTGGTTTTCAAATACCTTTCTCCAACTCAATGAGAACAAAACAGAAATTATTGTTTTTGCTCCCAAAAAAATGAGAATGGATATTATTGAGGAGCTGGGCAATCATTTCCCCTCCATTTCCTCACAGGTTAGAAACCTGGACGTTATCATAGACTCAGAATTATGTTTGTCCAAACAAATTAATTCTGTCGTTAGGAACAGTTATCATCAATTACGGGTCATCTCCAAACTTAAATGTTTTTGTCTTTTCAAGATTTGGAGATGGTTATTCATGCTTTTATTACCTCACGTTTAGATTACTGTGCTTCACTGTACTCAGGTCTTCCTCAGTCAGTCATCGCTTTCACGCCTCCAGTTGGTACAAAATGCAGCTGCAAGGCTGCTGACTGGGGCAAAGAAATATGCTATTTTAGCTTCGCTTCACTGGCTTCCGGTCCATTCTGTTGTTTGTTTTTAAAGCTCTTAACAATCAAGCTCCATATTATCTTATTATCCCTTTGTCATCTACCAGACTTTTAAGATCCACTGACAGGGCTCTGTTATCTGTCCCTCGTTCCCGTTTGAAAACTAAGGGTGACAGAGCCTTTTCAGTCACTGCAAGTGTGCACTTGGATGGGTTAAATGCAGAGCACAAATTCCGAGCATGTCACCATACTTGGCCACCACTTCACTCACTCACTCAACTGTTCCTTTAACTTATAAATGACTACACTGCAGTGTAAAATTTCCCAAAAAATTGTGTTTATTTCCATTCTATAACCATTTGCTTAACATGAAAAACTTACAAAAATAAAGTTTGGATTTTCAAGGGTAACACGACAAAAACATAAATACACAAAATATGGTCCTTACATGCAAGGTTGTATGGTTCAAGTTCAAAGCAGATGGTTGGTTTAATACAGTATAGGCATGCTCTCAAAGGAGACGGCTTAAAATTAGAAGCTCTGATTTCATGCTGTATAATATTCGCAGAGACCTAGTGGCCACAGGCCCACAAAACTGAAAAAGCCAACAGCTGAGCAAAGGTTGTCGAGTTCACAAACTAACGTCAGTCAATGAGGTATCCAAAATGCTTCCGCATGTTTAAGAACAAACATGCACAAAACACTGTGTTTGAAATGCTTGGTCCATATAAGTTGTAAGTATGTCAAGTTTAAATCAATGAGATGACTGGTACATTCTAACTGCTTCTGAACACATTTACATCTATGATCCCCTTCTAGTGGCCAGAGATCAAATTTACATATTTGGCCACACACTAATATGGTCACAATTATGGCCTCCAATGATCTTTTTCTCTTCTGGCCATTCTGAATAGGAATACTTTTACAGCAGCAATCAAAGTCATGTTGTATTCCTTGATTTCAGCATTACTAATGCAGTGCAACGTGCTCTTCTAGTAGACTTTAACATAAATGGTCCATCATGGGATGCATATTGGTTTTTATCACTCGATCCTGGCCCTTGATCTCTGAATTCATGTGTTCTTAAGTTTCTTGGCACAAGCCTGTTGTTCTGTGCTGGTTCCACTAGTCTAAATGGCCCTTTCCTCTAATGCAGTGAGCAGGACCTCTATAAATTGTCCGTATGGCTCACTTCGCCACACTGGAACTTCCACTTAACAGTCTTCCAATAAAGGAAGAGCAATTCAGTGCAGATTAACTTGGCACTTTGTACCACTTCATACGAGTCAGTAAGGTTTACAGGTAACACTGTGACAGAGCCTAGTTTCTCAAACCGAAAAAAAGCTAATGAAACAGTCATGGTTCAGAGGAAAACCAACCGCATGTGATATCTAAGGTATTGCTGAGAGACTATGTGGCATCACAGTGAGTGGTGAGCTGGGACTCGGCCATGTAGACACTATGGCCAACCCCGTTCACTATGTCATAGAACTGTCCTATATCCTTCCTGGAGGCTGCTCCTTTTCACTTGGCCAGTCTGAACACAGCCAGATCCAGAGGTTCTCGACTGGGGACACACCAGTCATCTGCCCCCTGCGTGACTTCATAGTTCCGTCGAGCTGTCTTATTAAACACTGGGAGTCTCTCGACTGAGTCCGTGGATAAAGCCTGAGGGGAAAAACACATGATGTCATCTGTTAGAACACAACGCAAAGTATTCTTTTATTTACAACAAGTTTCCAGCATTTTTAAAACATAAAAAAAATAAAAATAATGTTCCGAAGAATAAACCTTAGGGTGGTGCCATGTTTAATTTCTGACAGGAATGGAAACAAGGATGTGGTGGGCAGAATTAAGTGGATTGTACTGTTGTTTAACAACATCCAATTTTTCAGCTGATGAATCATCTTTCTGAAAATAACTTTCAATAAAAAAGAACCCCACAAAACACTTTTGAAAGTTGTGAGTTATGAAAATTACAGAATTGTGGACCTTTATACAGCGTATGCCATTGTAAAGATTGCACGTTTATCCCTCTCTGTCTTGTTTTCATCTTTGTAAAATTCAATATGGCACACAACCTGACTAAGGTCTATAGTTCCAAACCTGCCAATGGGATAAAACAACACTGGACCCCACTGATTTCCACTGCATGGACAAAATGATTTGAAACATTCTTCAAAATATTTTATTTTACCTACCACAAAAGAAAGAAAGGCATGCAGGCTTGGAACGACATAAATAAATGGAACGTAAATGACAGAATTAAAATTTTCTGAAAGAAAAAATAACACAGCCAGATCCAGAGGTTCTCGACTGGGGACACACCAGTCATCTGCCCCCTGCGTGACTTCATAGTTCCGTCGAGCTGTCTTATTAAACACTGGGAGTCTCTCGACTGAGTCCGTGGATAAAGCCTGAGGGGAAAAACACATGATGTCATCTGTTAGAACACAACGCAAAGTATTCTTTTATTTACAACAAGTTTCCAGCATTTTTAAAACATAAAAAAAATAAAAATAATGTTCCGAAGATTTTCAAGGAATAAACCTTAGGGTGGTGCCATGTTTAATTTCTGACAGGAATGGAAACAAGGATGTGGTGGGCAGAATTAAGTGGATTGTACTGTTGTTTAACAACATCCAATTTTTCAGCTTTCTGAAAATAACTTTCAATAAAAAAGAACCCCACAAAACACTTTTGAAAGTTGTGAGTTATGAAAATTACAGAATTGTGGACCTTTATACAGCGTATGCCATTGTAAAGATTGCACGTTTATCCCTCTCTGTCTTGTTTTCATCTTTGTAAAATTCAATATGGCACACAACCTGACTAAGGTCTATAGTTCCAAATCTGCCAATAGTGTCATTCCAAACCTGCCAATGGGATAAAACAACACTGGACCCCACTGATTTCCACTGCATGGACAAAATGATTTGAAACATTCTTCAAAATATTTTATTTTACGTACCACAAAAGAAAGAAAGGCATGCAGGCTTGGAACGACATAAATAAATGGAACGTAAATGACAGAATTAAAATTTTCTGAAAGAAAAAAAATATATAAAAAATTACAGAAATTTCTATTTTCATTTTTGGGTGAACTATCCCTTTAAGTAGGGTTAAAATGCACCTTCAGGTGAATGACTGCATCAGTGCCATGGCCCTCCATAGAGTACAGCTGAAGATCACCCTGGAAGTACTTGGCATAGAGTCGAGAAATGGGCAAACCATAACCAAACCCAGCCTGTAGACAAAAGGTGTCCAATTTTATAAAGAGGCACTGTTACAAGTATCATTGAGATATTACTATTATTAATATTTTTCTATTTTCAGTTATTATTTTACTTTTAAAGTTTTAGTAATTGTTATTTTTGTCATTTTTATTAGTTTTGTTATATAAATATGTCTATATAGTTTGCATTTATAATTTCAGTTTTAGTTATTTTAGTACATCAAGATAAACAAAATGAAAATTAGAAATTTTCTGAAAAAAGGAAGAGTCTTTTTTGTAAACTAGCTGAAATAAAACATTTTTTAAATAATTATTTCAGTTAATACTTATTTTATTTCAAGTAACAAAAGTTATGATTTTAGTTTTAGTTAAATATAATAACTATGGAAGCCCGTTTCCGCCACTGAATAAAAAAATATATATAATTCTGTAAGTCATAATGAGAAACTCTCAAAATTATGACTTAGTATCTCGTTATAATGAGAAACTTTCTCAAAATAATGACATAGTTTCTCGTAATAATGACTTAGTTTCTCGTAATAATGAGAAACTTTCTCACAATAATGAGAAACTTTCTCATAATAATGACTTCACCTAATCCAAAAAAAAAGTGCTGTCACTCTTGCGTTGCGCCTCGAGTAAGTCTTTTTTTTTTTAAGTCATTATTATGAGAAAGATTCTCATTATTACGAGAAAGTTTCTCATAACGAGATACTAAGTCATTATTAGATTCTCATTAGTACGAGAAAGTTTCTCATAACGAGATACTAAGTCATTATTACGAGAAAGTTTCTCATTATTACGAGAAACAGTCATTATTATGAGAAAGTTTCTCATTATAACGAGATACTAAGTCATAATTTGAGAAAGTTTCTCATTATGACTTACAGAATTATATATTTTTATTCAGTGGCGGAAACGGGCTTCCATAAATAACCCTGTAAAGTGGACACTTTAAAATTACGTACCTTGCAATCCTATTTGTATTTAATGTGTAATGCAGTGAAGTCTCACCAGGGGAGGTTGTCGAGTTCACAAACTAACGTCAGTCAATGAGGTATCCAAAATGCTTCAGCATGTTTAAGAACAAACATGCACAAAACACTGTGTTTGAAATGCTAGGTCCATATAAGTTGTAAGTATGTCAAGTTTAAATCAATGAGATGACTGGTACATTCTAACTGCTTCTGAACACATTTACATCTATGATCCCCTTCTAGTGGCCAGAGATCAAATTTACATATTTGGCCACACACTAATATGGTCACAATTATGGCCTCCAATGATCTTTTTCTCTTCTGGCCATTCTGAATAGGAATACTCTTACAGCAGCAATCAAAGTCATGTTGTATTCCTTGATTTCAGCATTACTAATGCAGTGCAACGTGCTCTTCTAGTAGACTTTAACATAAATGGTCCATCATGGGATGCATATTGTTTTTTATCACTCGATCCTGGCCCTTGATCTCTGAATTCATGTGTTCTTAAGTTTCTTGGCACAAGCCTGTTTTTCTGTGCTGGTTCCACTAGTCTAAATGGCCCTTTCCTCTAATGCAGTGAGCAGGACCTCTATAAATTGTCCGTATGGCTCACTTCGCTACACTGGAACTTCCACTTAACAGTCTTCCAATAAAGGAAGAGCAATTCAGTGCAGATTAACTTGGCACTTTGTACCACTTCATACGAGTCAGTAAGGTTTACAGGTAACACTGTGACAGAGCCTAGTTTCTCAAACCGAAAAAAAGCTAATGAAACAGTCATGAGTCATTATTATGAGAAAGTTTCTCATTATAACGAGATACTAAGTCATAATTTGAGAAAGTTTCTCATTATGACTTACAGAATTATATATTTTTATTCAGTGGCGGAAACGGGCTTCCATAAATAACCCTGTAAAGTGGACACTTTAAAATTACGTACCTTGCAATCCTATTTGTATTTAATGTGTAATGCAGTGAAGTCTCACCAGGGGAGCCCTTTGCTTATCATCCATCTGGGGTTTTGGTGCGGTGGAGTACATGTAACTGAAGAGATTCTCCATCTTCCTGAAAGGAACTCCACCACCTCGGTCACTCATCTACAAAGACATAGATGGCATTGTTAGAATAAAAAAAAGTGGGGGAAAAAATGAGAAAGAGTTTATTAGGGCACAAACAGAAAAAAAAGGGTTAACAGTGAGGGGGCAAGATGCCAGACAGACAGGCACTAGCCTTGACTCTGACCCGATCACGACTGATTAGTATGTGAAGGACTCAAATCAGCATAGTCAAGGTAACCAAACAACAAGGCCAGTCTGCTCTCATGTACTATGTTATGCAACAGCAGGTGTTTCACTGATGGGAAAAATGACTGATGGCTCTAGTTACATCAGACTAGAATCACATCAACTTTTTATGAATTTAACAACCATAAGGAAAAAAAAAAAAAGACAATTAAATAATTACAATACTTTTTTTTTAATTATATAATTTAAGAGCAATAAATATTCAGGGATATCTCACCACAATTTTTAAAATGAATATTTTATTATAATTTCATAATTGAATACAAATTAAGCTTATTTTAAGGATCTTTTATTACAATTAAATACATACACTCAATCCATCACTGCAACAAAATTAATCTTATTATTGTAATTAAAATATATATATTTTTTAAAATTCTTATACATTAGTATGTAAGCATACATTAATTTATGCTAATTTAATTTTAAAAATTGTTAAATTATGTTTGCAATTTTATAGTACTTTGAATCTAACAAGAATAATAATCAATCATTTAAAACTATTTAAAATGAAACCAAGAAACTCGATTAAAAACACAAGAATGAAAATTCACTGGAAAATGTGCATAATTGCCATGAAAATGTCTACAATTTTGTTTTAGCACCACATACTGCAAAAACGCTTCTGTGAACAAATCATTCCAGTCTTTCAAATTAAAATCACCTTGATAGTGAGGTCCTCTCCTCCTACGGCCACCATAACTTGAATGGGTGGAAGATTACAGCCTTCATGGTTCTCAATGGTTGCCCTCATTGCATTCTGGGGAAAGAAGCATATCGTCATGACAACATCCAACTTGCCTTAAATAAACAGCATTGTTTCAGGACAGAAATATGAGATGGGCTACAGCTCACCTTGAACAGTTCAAATAGCATATGGTACAGATGGGAAGGCACGTACACCATGTTAATAGGCTGGTTCCTGTTATTAGCTGCAAATAGAAGAACACAGTCACAGTGCCAATATTATCCATAGCTGCGAAAACATTATCACTGCTAATCTCATAGAGAACTAACAGATGGAATAAATTTAGTATCAGGTATCTTACTCAGCCTGTATTTTCTGACTATCTACGCTAGATATTCCCGTTCTTACTGTTAAGTTCTTGAAGCACCAGGTCAGGTGAGCTGAGGTAGTACTGATCACACAGCATCTTGGCACTTTCATATGCGTCTACATGACAAAGAACAATGCGATGACAATATTTTTTAGAAACAAGAGTGTATGTGTATTGACTAAACAAATGGGTCACTGATTTTGAGAAGCCCATTTGCAACAAACTCTCACTCTACATGCTTGTGGTTTCATCGGATTGAAAGTAGATAGATTTTGCATAATGTACCTTTAACAACTTCTGCCACCTGACAATAAGGGTCTATACTGCCAATGGTATTAGGGTGAACTGGATTTGTGGCACCATCAAATACAAGAGCTGAAAAATCCAATAAAACAACATAAATACAAGCAACTTAAAAAAACAGGAATTCTTATTTTGGTCTGAAAATGATGCTTACTGTGCTGGTTGATGAGCATTCTGATTGATATCCGACTCAAATAGAAACGGTCCAGGAAATACTGAATATTCTGATTAGTGACTGGATCTTGACCAAATACTTCTTTATATTCAATCACACCCTGGGCCATAGTGGGTACAACATCATTGTGCCTGTTTCGGATGTTGACTAGAGCATTCACAAACCTGTGTGCATATTCAAGAGTGTTAAAATGTGCAATGAACAATGAAGAACATATCTGGGTCATATTTGACCCCAAAATCAAAAGGAAATAAATAAATAAACTATTTTTTAAGTAAGAAACAACTCAAGAAGTTTGACAACAAAGCCTATTTTTATATGTAACAATGTATGACAACCCTTTCAATTCTCAATTTATAGGGGTCATGAACTGAGAAATCAAAATTCCCTTGATCTTTTGACATAAGAGGTCATTGTACTTTAAAAACATCCTGCAAGTTTCATAACTCAAAACTTTCTCGTTAGTCTAAAAACAGCTTATATTGACGCCAATCTGCCAAAAAGACAGGTTGTGGAATGTGCAACTTTATTACATAGTGTGGCTAAACCCCCCCTCCGCAGAAGATAATCAACACCTGCTTCTACATCAGTGCCTGTTTAGCCCCGCCCACCAATTTGTGCATGTAGTGGGTAAATAACGAGAGAGGCAAACGCAGGTCTACGCCGAAACCACACGATAAAACATGGCTCTGACGACAACAAGACGTGGTGCAGTGCCGCGTCAGTAAGAACTCTGTCCTATGTTCACTTCATTTTACCATGGATTCATTTACAAATAAGGCACAATTTTCAGAAAGATTGAAACTAAAAGACGATGCCGTGCCGACTATATTGGATCCAACAGTAATGTCGCACCTGAGAGTAACTGTTTTTATTATGTGTTATGGCCAACCCCGTTCACTATGTCATAGAACTGTCCTATATCCTTCCTGGAGGCTGCTCCTTTTCACTTGGCCAGTCTGAACACAGCCAGATCCAGAGGTTCTCGACTGGGGACACACCAGTCATCTGCCCCCTGCGTGACTTCATAGTTCCGTCGAGCTGTCTTATTAAACACTGGGAGTCTCTCGACTGAGTCCGTGGATAAAGCCTGAGGGGAAAAACACATGATGTCATCTGTTAGAACACAACGCAAAGTATTCTTTTATTTACAACAAGTTTCCAGCATTTTTAAAACATAAAAAAAATAAAAATAATGTTCCGAAGAATAAACCTTAGGGTGGTGCCATGTTTAATTTCTGACAGGAATGGAAACAAGGATGTGGTGGGCAGAATTAAGTGGATTGTACTGTTGTTTAACAACATCCAATTTTTCAGCTGATGAATCATCTTTCTGAAAATAACTTTCAATAAAAAAGAACCCCACAAAACACTTTTGAAAGTTGTGACGACAACAAGACGTGGTGCAGTGCCGCGTCAGTAAGAACTCTGTCCTATGTTCACTTCATTTTACCATGGATTCATTTACAAATAAGGCACAATTTTAGGCAAAATTCGAAGCAAGAATTTGTGCCGTGCCGACTATATTGGATCCAAATGTCACACCACACAAGTGAGTAACTGTTTTTATTATGTGTTCACTATTGCTTTGTCTGTTATTACAGATCGTTTGATATGTACCGAGTATTCATGTGTTTTTAACCTAAAATCACAGCAGTGTCCATGTGTGAAAACTGCTCAACTTTTAGCCAATCATACCAATGGTCGTTAACTTCAGAGTCTACAATCTGTCACGCCTATTCAAACAGAGCGTTCCGAAGAGAAGGCGTTAAAACAGGACAGAAAATAGCCCATTACTTCTAAATTATGATGTTTTTTCATGTAAAAACCTTGATGGCATTATAAGTGGACCTCAGAGAACAGTAAAAACAAAAAACAAAAGGCATGACCCCTTTAATAATAATAAACTAAAAGATGTCGTGATGCATTATACTAATGGGAATTTTTGTAGGAAAATGTGCTTAATTGTCATTAAATAATGGCACACAAAGAAAAAATATAAATATAATTTCTTGTTTTTCTTTTGATGTTGAGGTCAAATGTAAAATGTGTGTTTTTTTTCATGAAATTTACCCATTTACATTTCTACTTACTCTTCTAATACACTTTGGTCATCTGGACTTTTCTCCAAGAAATCCAAGATCTCCATCAAACTCTGTACATACCTTAGCAGACAAACAGAAGAAGTGGGAATTAATTTATGTGAAGAAATGTAATAAAATTAAAACAAATTAAACTATGTGAACACTGTATTCAGGGGGAAATATGTTTATCCAGTGTTTTTAGAACATTGACTCTTCTAGTCACAGCAACGTCATATAATTTCCTGCAAATGTCCCTCACACTTCAAACATGTTCTGATGTGAACTAAATATATATAAATTGCTGATATTTTGGAAAAGATGGATGGTAAATGTATTGCAACAGTAAACAGAAGCATTTACAAGAACATTGACCTAATATCTGTGGAAAATCAACCGTTAAAAAGTTGCATACCGCGCATATTAATAGAAAACTGTTTTGTTTTGGCTATGCCTGAGTTTCCAAGTTTCCACTCTTCCTAAAAAACAACAAGCACGAGGTAGTGAAAGTAGGACAAAGTTCACAGCAGAATCCCTCCTTGAAGAAGTGTAGCTCCCACCCTGACGCTGAATATGGGGCAAAGTTCACAGGCTCACCAAGTTCAGAGTTTGGCCAAGTCTCAAGCAGACCGCGGTGTTTACTTGTCATACTGAACATACATTTAGGCCATCTATTCGCCTTATAAACAATACGTCGTTTCTACAACAAATCTGGTCAAAGTAGACCAGATTATAAATGTAGTCAAATGTTGTATAACTCACCAGCTTTGAACCATTTGTACAGAAGGAGTGGTAAGTAATATTTTAGGGAGCAAGTTGATCTCTTTCATGATGTTTGACAGACGCACGGGCAGCTCTTGTCTCAGGAAAACAAAAGACGTTTTCTCACATGCGTTGGTAGAACCTGAACGAAGGCAATATGTAAGAAATAAATATGGCACCTTGGTAAACAGACTTATAAGTGTTATAAATATTAATTAGTATAATGGTATGGGCTTGGGACTAAGATGTATGCACATTGCTAATAAATAATGCAATTAAACACAGTCGAATACAGGTGCATAAACATCGCAGTGATTGCAAACATGCCAACAGCAGTTAAATGACGCAACACTCTGCACCTATGAACAGTATGATGGGAATTCAGAGTCGGTTCTTTCGAACAGTTCATTTTAAAGAACCGGTTCAGAAAACCGATTGAGCCATAACGTCATTCGTTTCTGACGTGCTGTGCGTTTTATGTTCAGCCTTTCTGCTGTTAACCTTTTTAAGTAATTTGGTAGTCCTTGGTTTACTCCAAATTCTCTTACTATCCGCTCAGTTCAGGTTCAAATTACAGTTCAAATGTATAGTTCAGTCAGAGTCATAAAGTAAGTCACTGAAAAGATCCGAATCAAAGAACAATTTGTTCCCGAATCGGACATAGCTACACACAGCTGGTAGAGCAGTACCAAATAATTTCTGCATCAAGCAGATTTAAATAACACATGCAATGCGGTTACATAGTCATGCACGTAATCATAAACGTACTATTAGTCCAAAATAATATGAAGTTGCATTAATACAACCGTCTGTTCCACACACGACCACTTTCATGGGCAATAAACAGCGTTTATATGAAGCTATTCCTTGTCTAGCAATGCATACGATTTTATAAATGAACAAATAACAGTAGAAAGAGCACTCACCAAAATCCAAGAACTGTTTCATAGAAAGTGGAGAAGGTGAAAATTTTGAGAAGTGTTCAATGTGTTGAGGCGCACTGGCTAATGCAGCATTCTTCATTATAAACCTGACGAACTTCATTTCGATGACAGGTTCGAAACCGAGATTTACCAGATATATTTTCAACAGCCACCAGTGTTTATAATACATGTACTGCTATGTAGGCTATATGATGCAGCTGTTCTTCCAAGAACACTCAACAGCCAATCATAGCACGAGGATCCTATTACTAATACAGATCTGTCCAATAGCATGTGGAGGCGGGGCCACGTGCTGCTTATGACCCTATAAATATAAGGATTCAGTAAGGGATATAAACACGTGTGTATTGATCATGATCACTGTGTGGTTTGCGTCCTGATAGAGTAGGTCTGTTCCATCCAGAACTGTGATGATCATTATAAAAATCATTAAAGCTAAATTAATATCAGAATGTCAAGTATTGCATTAATAATAATGTGGGCTACCTATTAATTTTAACTCATTATACAAAATCTCTAGTAAACATGAAAAATTGAGTTTAATTACTGCCTTCATCTTTAGGGTAAACAAGTGCAAAAGATACAACCTGCTGTTGTGTACAAACACTTTTGCCAAGTCATTTGAATTTGATTAAATGAACTTGAATCACATTAAATGAAGTTAAACTTCAGATAAATCTATGGAAAAAACGTTATCAGCCTATATCATGTGATGAAAATATTTTGTACAATGTGACTTTAGAAATTCAGTATAACCTCTTTTGAACTTTATTTTCCCCCAATGGTCTTTTTCAGGACATGGGGACAAATCCATGATGTGCATTATCTCCCTGTTTTTTAATGGTCAATTTGTTGAGGACATTATGTTCAATGTAAGACTAACATGCCAAATCCATTCTTGCATAACAAGGAGAGTCTCGATAAGAGACAATTCAGTCATTCATATTTCAGTCTCTCCTTCCAGCCAACAGTCAGTTGAGTAAATCAGAGATGCGCTTATTTTATGGGTTGTGTTCTTAGATGTGTGTCTATTTTTTAATGTGCATCTTTAAAAATTAATAAACTGAGATTAGACAGCATATTTCCATATGCATTCAGTATAATTATGGGTTGTGCAGTGAGTCTCATCAGATGATTTCTCCCAATGGAGACCTAGATAAATCAATTTGTAGTGGCTCTTTCCATGATTAAATCATTACGAATAACGATTCCCATATGTTCAACTATACAGCTCCACGCTATTGAACAACTGCGCTACCTTGTGGTCAGCTTTGTAGTTTTTTCAACCTTTCACCACCGTTAAAAAACGGACTAAATCTGTTATTTTAGAGCATTAAATTTGTAGTGTTTCTGTTTGGAACAAAAAATATATATTTATATAATCTTTTTAATGTTAAAACAATGACTGTTAAAACACTTTATGTGGCCATTGACACTGTTTATTTGGCCCTATAGTTTTGAAACGCATGGTTATTCTGCACTGTGTTAAATGAAAGCATCAGATAAGTTGTAGTAAATTTCCTTGCCGTAAACTTTATCTAAACTCCAACGTATTCTGTCTGTGCAGTAGTGATTGTAGAGCCATTAAGATCTGAGGACCTGGGGAGAAGAAAACATGCCCAGTGGAAATTCCCTTTGGTCAGACAAGGCCGGGCCATTGATGTGCTGTCTTGTACCTTCATTGAATGGAACAGATTGGAGCCAAATGTCATGGTTGCTCCCAGGCCATTCCTTTAGTAGGCTAAAATTTGACAACGGAATCCACAATAAATCTATTAAAAGTTTATATCCAAAATCATCTATATTTTAATATCTATTCTAGAGAATGATATGATAACTGCTGTCATTCTAAAGATTTTTACTTTCTAACATTGCAAAAGTTTTCCATTAAAAAAGTTACAGTACTGTGGTATGTACTCTCACTGACCCCTGCCATGAACTATGAATAAATGCAACAAATTCTCTGATTTGTTCTCTGCACCTTGCGACCAGTTCTGGTTTTGGATTCACTCACACCAGAGTTATGTGAGTAAAACAGAATAAAAGCAAAGAGAGGAACAGGTTTTTTGGGCCCTGAGTCCAAATATGAATAATTCCCACACAGAGTAAGCAAAAAGAAGTGTGTCAGATAAGTAGAATGTGAGAATACACAGAGTATTCATGAAGGCAAACAATACTGATGTATATCCCCACTCTCAGAATACAAAACTGCCACTGGGGTGATTACCTTTCAAAAGTATTATGTACACTTTAGGTACTAATATATGTACTATTAAAATACTAATATGTGTTCCATTTGGGGGTAAATAAGGTACAAAGATGTACCTTTTAGCTTTTGTACCTTATGTTACCACCCCAGCTTTGTACCTTTTGTACCCTTTACCTGAGAATGCAGTAGATGCTTTGCTGGAGAGATGTCAGATTTTAAAAGATGAAAATGTCTTTATATCACTCACCAGCAGAGAAGCAACATCACATATATGCATGCTGTTATACTGAATATGTGGCACAATCGATCATAATTATGCAGAGCTCATGTATGTGTGATATTACTTTTTTTTTTACTGCATTTTCAACAGTGTTCGTGTAGGGGCCAAGCTGATCCCAAACTAAACAATTTCTATAATAATGCTTTTCTTTGTGTAAAAAGGTTACATCTTTATGAATATAACTAGTGAGGTTTAATTAGATAATGATAATAAGGGAAAATAACAGGATTATATTCTATTATAATGATTATTATTAGTTTTACCCTTACGAAACAAAAACCATATAGCATACTGAAAAATATAATGCAATATATTAAATAATTCAGTTATATAATGCTTATATATATAAATATTCTGCAATATATGCATGGTCCATGTATGGCTATATTGGCTGTATTAAAAAATTGCAATGAAAATAAAAACGGAACTATTTTTTTATATGTAATAGCTGTATTGAAATGTTCTATTAATTGATTTCTTTTTCATGAGTTAATGCATGTTTATATAAAGCTGAACACATTCATATATTTTATCTCACTTTATTGTATATGCATTTCATATATGAAAATATGTGTGCTATATAAGAAAAATAAATATATGCATGGTCCATGTATGGCTATATTGGCTGTATTAAAAAATTGCAATGAAAATAAAAACGGAACTATTTTTTTATACGTAATAGCTGTATTGAAATGTTCTATTAATTGATTTCTTTTTCATGAGTTAATGCATGTTTATATAAAGCTGAACACATATTCATATATTTTATCTCACTTTATTGTATATGCATTTCATATATGAAAATATGTGTACTATATAAGAAAAATAAATGTGTGTGTGTGTGTGTGTGCTTATAATTATGTATATATTGCATTACATATTTATATACATACACTGTAGTTTATTACTGAATATAAAATCATATTACGATAAGTAAATATATTGTCAAATATTTTTCAATATGAAAAACGGCTATTTCTTATGTATTATACAATATATTAACACAATATATTATTCTGCATTTTTTAACTATTAATTATTTTAATATATTGATCGTTAATATATATATAAATACACTTTCTGTGCATAAGGGTACCCACAGAGGACCGAAACAACCAGGAAATAAAGCCCATCTGAACCGGACATGAGTGTTATGTAGTGCTGTGTCGGTGATGTTTTATGTTGAATCTTCAGCAGTGGCGCTCAAACTCTCTCTGGTCCCTCACTGAGAGCATCTGAACCAACAACAGCAGCGAAGAGCAGCGCGCACCAGCTTCATACAATTAACCAACACTTCTGGGGTACCTGGCCCTTCACTGAAGACATGTCAGCAAAGGACGGATCTATGACACACCGTGAGTGCTCTTTCCTTTATTTTTTGGTGGAATAGACTATGTGATTTGGTGTGTATGGTCGGAGTATTGCAGTGAGGGTTACATCATTACGGGCTCTACAGTGGCAAACATCGCACAGCCATGTTTTACAGAATGCTATAAATGTCCATGTAAATACAACGCAGGGCGACACGGGAAGCGTTGCATGTTAATATGCATTTACATATTTTCCCATAGCTGTCTTTAGCCTCTCTTCGTTTGTGTAAATGCAATAAATACAGGCAGATTTTGAAACAAAAGAAGACGCTTGCGGTTTGACATCAGCATTGCTCAGCCGCTGCAAATAGATCATCAAATGAAGACGCTGCGCTGGAAGGGATATGATCTTTACGAAACCACAGCTGATTAAGATTAAACGACCATGGAAATTATATTTAATGACTTGTTTCATACGGTCAACGAGATGTATTACCTGATTCAATTATAGAATCGAATAAATAACCAGTCTATAGGGAGAAATACCAGTGGATGATGTGGTTTGTCCCGTACAACACTATAAATAACTTTTTCCTTACTGTAGAGCACCCATGCATGAAGGATGCTGTTCAATGGCATTCCAACACTCAGTTTTGTCATTAATCGAAGAAAGGGTTAAGCTTAGGATACATTACAATTAATATATAAATCGGAAATGGTGGGAAAATAGAAAACTTTAGCCATGAAGGCATATATCATCAGAATCATCAGCAGGTTCGCTGTGTTGTGTTTATAGTTGTGTTCATTATAGTGAGCTACAATGTAGTTGTTTCAAAGCATTGATTTGTTCAAGACTGACAGTCTTTAATTCTTAAACGACTGTTGTTAAAGTGATGAAATATGGTTAAAAATGTAGTTTTGTGTAGGTCGTGTGTAATGTGGTTTAGCAGACGGTCACTTGTAAGGATGCACTGGACAGGTCCAGGTGCTGAACCGCTTTTAAAGAGTAGCCGCTTATACGTGGATAATAAATGTAAGATTTAACTTTGATAAACAGGAATGACATGCTCAGAACTGGTAGAGCTTAATTTTTAATACACACAGCAGATTATTTGTATTTATTTTCTTAAATTTTTAAATGATCTTTATTTAAAATTCAGTGTACTAAGAATGCTAAAATGCTCCAGTTAAAGACTGCAGGTTAAAACTATATTAATTGTGAAAATGTTATATTTGAGAGGAAGACAGTACATTTGTACAAGTTTTTAATTTGGTGAGGGAGGGCATTCCTTATGATTATTGGATTATTTTAGTGCTAGGGAATGTAACATAATTTAATGGCATATACAGTTATAAACTGTAATACAGTCGCCAAAAT